AAGGTCATCAGCGTAAAATGTGTGGTTGGATTTTAAGAGCCGACTCAGATCTGATATATAAATAGCAAATAAAACTGGTCCGAGAACAGATCCTTGAGGGACACCAGACTTTACGGCGTAAGTATCAGAAAATGAGTCACCGATTCTGACATAAAACTGCCGGTCTGATAAAAAGGCTGAAATCCATTCTAACAGATGACTTCCAATACCAGCTTCATTCAGTTTATGTATTAATCTTCGATGGGGAACCTTATAGAAGGCTTTTTGGAAATCAAAGTAAATAACATCAACTGAATTGCCGCGATCAATTTCTTCGGTCCATTTATCTAAACTACTAAGGAGGCACGTAACCGTGGAGCGACCAGGCAGAAAACCGTGCTGTGTGGTAGGGATTATATCAGTTTTCATCGTGAAATCAACTAGTTGTTTACAAATGATTCTTTCCATTACTTTACAACACACAGCTGTAAGAAGTTTTATCACCTTTTTTGAAAATAGGTGTTACAGATGATATTAACCAGTCGGATGGAAGAGATGAGAAGAGTAGAGACTGCAATATTATGTGAGCGAGTGGTGCGGCTAATTGAAGGGCATATCTTTTCAAAAAAGAAGGAGATATACTATCAGGGCCGGGAGCACTATTTTCTGAGAGGGTAAGAAGTTCATGGTACACAACAGTTTCGCTTATTTCGACGGTATCTAAATGAGAAGAGATACATTCTTTTAACGAAGACTTGGAAATATCATTTGGGTTTTCACTACTATATGTGTTTTCGAAGAATTTTGCTAACTCATTAGCAGATTCAAAATTAGAATTACAGAATTAACCACAGCTATTTTTTACAACAGGTCGAGAGACTTTGACGCAGAGTTGACGTTTTGTATATTTGTAAACCGCTTTTGGTCCTTTATTTACCACAGCATTTTCATATATCTGTCTAGATTTATTTAAATCATCTATTAGCTTGTTTGAGAAAACACGATGTGTTTTAAAATCATCGTTGTTTTTAGTGGTTTTGTATGTACGCCATAGTTTGCGTTTATATTTAATACGCTTCAATAATTCCCCATTGATCCAAGGTTTCATTTTATTCATTCGTTGGTATCGCACTTTACTATTACTAGCAATCACATTATGTAAGGTGTTTTTGAATATGTTCCATAAAACATGAACATCGGAAATAGAGTAAAACTCGTCCCACTTAAGATTATTTAAGAAAATAGACACTTCATTATAGTTTATTACTTTGATAGGTTCGTTAATATTTTGTGGAGGAGAAGCTATAATTTAAATAATCGTTTCTATCACGGCATGATCAGACTTGCCAATTGGAGAAGATACGTTAATATCAGACAGAAGAGAATCATCATTAATTAAGATTAAATCTAGGAGAGAAGGAGTGTCACCAAGTCTGAAACGTGTAGGTTCTTCCACCAATTGGTAATAATTGGTGTTAAGGTACATTTCAGCAAAAAGAGAACTGGAGTTATTTCCTTCGGGAATATGTGATAACGGCCAACTAATATCAGGGAAATTGAAATCACCACAAACAATTAAGTCACTATAACGTGTAGATAATGCCGAAAGTTCGTTTATTAGGATTTTATCATCTAACAATGAAGAGTTCGGAGCGCGATATATGCAACCAATATGAAAAGATGCTTCCTTAGACGCTACACAGAGGAAAAGGCATTCAATAGTTGATGAAATAACATTATGGGCAATTTCGCTAATTCTAAAAGTTTGAAAATCGGTTTTGTTTAACAAGATACACACGCCACCTCCTCTACCTTTACGATCTGAACGATAAATATCGTAGTCAGGTAAGTTGATTACGCTGCTGTCAATTGAGTTATTTAGCCAAGACTCTGATATTGCCATACATGAGGGTTTTTTGTCTTGTACATATAAAATAAGACAGTTTAATTTTGCAAGTACCGAAGCAATATTAGTGTAAGCCAGGGAAAACTGCATTAATTTGGCGGTTGGTTTATTAGACAGTGGAGAGATGGGGTTGTTGATTACTGGGGTGGTAATACTTTCTAACACGAATTTGGTTGCGTTCGTAATTAATTGCTATTTTCGTAGGAAGTTGTCTTTTTTGAATTGTTCTACAACCGATATATAGACTGGACATCTGGTGTCCCATGCCGCGTGATTTAAGTTAGTTTGAGGCTCGTTGTCTTTTAACAATTTTTTGCAGTTAATACAATTAAGGACCGTGGAATTACATTCTGACACAGAGTGATCTAATCCGCATTTTGGACAGGATTTTTTTTGAGTACATGACCTGGAAGAGTGGTTGAAACCATTGCAATTAAAGCAGCGGATCAGATCGATAGCATCATAAGCATAGCAGTAATCGTAACCGATAAATACCCCCCAGCCTTCATAACCACATCATAAGTTGTTTGGTCTACCTGCAACAGCGCTTGAAATTTTTTTTGATTTTTCTTCGTGGGCCACTGTTTAAGCACCCTACATTCGGGAAGATAGTTGAATGTTGTACTGTTGGTTTTAACAGAGTGTTCAAGAAAATCAGTTATTCCAGAATCAGGATACTCTTGGGATAGTCCAACAATTTTAACACGTGGTTGAAAACCTTTGATTTCGTGAATGTCATAATTTACTCCAAGTTTCGCAGTAGCACGTTCCTTGAACCTCTGTTTCTCATCTTTAGAAGAGAAGCCGATTGAAACACCACCACTTTGAGTGTCCTTTACTTTGGTAAGAGACAGCTGAGACTCCAAGGGACTGATGTTAGCTTTGATATCGGATTTTGTAAGTGTAGCAGTTTGGACAGTATTTTTAGGTTTTACGATAATCGCAGGTTGGGTTTTGTTTTTCAAAATTTGCGAATGAGGTGGGGGAATTACATTGTCTGATTCCGACTTACGAAGTACCTGCATATTTTCTTCAGTGACTTTCTTAAAATCCGATTTCAAAGTGTCAAATACACTGTTCAAATTATTTAATAACTCAGTATGTTTTCCCTCAAGAAATTTGTTTAATCCCGTATGATCAATTGGGAAACAGTTTCTATCGCACTCCTTACACTTCCATGAGAGACCGGAAACAGAATTTAAATATTTTAGAATTGTAGCGGTCATATCTACACACTGGAGGTAAAATCGCTTATTACAGACACCACTACAAGGAACCGAAGACGATTTACCGTCAATGACAGTGAGACAGATACCACATGGAACAATGATATTTAGGATAAACTGTAATCACTTGTCCTCCTTTTTAGAATATAATTTCTAGTTCCTATTCTTTCTCTGAAAAAAAAAGAAAAAAGAAAAAGAGTGGCACGCTACACGACGCGAGGCAGTGCGGCGGGCCGGTTGTAGATAAGATTGCTATCTCTATTTAAAAACATTACTACCGCACTTCAGGTAGCTATCGCAATTTATTTCACGAGTTGTAAATTGCTTCTGTAATATTTCCCGCTCGGTATATAATCAGAAAAATCCAGCAAAAACTGATGTGCAGTTGTTGTGTTGAAACGTTGTTACCAATCATTACTTCAGGACCGCTGCTGAAGATTATAAACTTTCAAGATAGAGGCAAACTAGTTTATCCTTCGCCAGTTTTCGTCGGACTGGCTGAAAAAATTGCCAATGCTATGCAAGAGCTGTTGCCTTTGGTAAATAATCAAAAGGCTTGTCAACAATTAGTCCAACTAATAGAACCAAAATTAATTAACAATCCAATTATCTGCAAAGAACATAACGATGAATTCTCTAATTTAATTATTAAAACCGTGATGAAACCTGTTATTGACAATGTTTGTTTAGAAAGAATTGACAGCCAAAAAAAAAAAAAACAATAAAAAGTTGCCCAAAACAAACCTCTAAGTAGAAAAATTTAATGTTAAAAGTGTGAGAGTAATAAAGGTGATTTTGTTGTTCGGTTTGTTTTTTCAGAAATTGTTTTTGTAACCAAACTTCTTACGATCTATACAAATTGTCTAAGAGCTACCGACCGATTTACGTTATATATTTCAGTACCTACTTATAAAAATCGGTTGATGAAGTCTCGTGTACCTACTGAATAAGGAACACCCATTCTGGCAACTGATACGGACGGGAAAAAGCTACTCCAAATTCTTAAAGGGGGTAAAAATGTGCAATTTTTTATAAACCAGCAGGTCTAGCATTTGAAGATAAGTATTTGTTGTGAAGAAAAATTCTGCCAGAATATTTCCACCCCTCAAAGCGTTAACTGAATTACAAAAAATTATATATTGTTTTTTTGGTATTTTGTGTTCCTTTAACAGTGTTGAAATTTAAACACAGGATGGTCCAACAGTAATAAAGAAATCTGAAAACATGCATCCGTTCATACATATGTTGTTTTTGTTTTACCGGTAAAAAAATTAAAATATGTGTAAGATCTTACTTTATACCATATTTTTTATGAACAGAGCGAAGTGGACGACGTCTAGTCAAGTAAAAACGTGAGAATCTAAAGTTTTCCAGATTTCACATTTTCAGTTTGTTTAATATTTGCACCAAAAGTCCGTACTCCATATATTATAAGTACTTTAACGTACCAGTTGGTAAAATTAAGGCATAAGGTGTTACATAATCCACTGAAAAAGTTCTGATAATTTGAACTGATTAATTCTTGTTCACTTAAGCATCCTTTTGATAAAAACTCAAATATAACTGAATATCGTCACCAAACATAATTAGTAATTACGTACGTTACAAAAATTTCGAAATATGCTGTACGTATGAAATAAAACCTGCAAGCACAATGGCCCCAAGATAAACCCTTGACATATCCCACTTCGAAAACCACAAATAAATATTTGAAGATAATGGATCGGCGGTGAAATTCAAACGACTACTAACAAATCTTTGCTGAAATCACTACTACCTAACAACCGGAAAAAATCCCACCAAATTTACAAAGAGCGGAATGCGATGGCCTTGTCTTTGAAATCTGCTTTTAACTTTAGTAATACTAAACTTATCCCACATATTCAGAAATGAATTTAGTGCGCAAGTGTTTCCACAGAATGACTGTTTACGAAATTAATGAAAGAGAAACTAAAGAAATCGCTAAATCATGTACAAAGAATGAAGAAGGATTCTGGCACAATCTGAGAAAGTATTTAAGAGAATATGCTGAAGTAACAGGCCTTCACGGATTCCGGTATGTTGCCGAAAAACGTTCAACACCTGAAAAGTGAGTGATTGCCTTAAGCATATGAACAATAATTTTTATGTGAATTATCGTGCATTTAAGGATTGTTTGGGGTTTGCTTTTGATGATTTCATTAGGTGGCTGTGTCTATATGATTAACGATGTAGTGTATAAATATGAGAATAGTCCGGTGGTTGTTAGTTTTGCAACTGAAGATACACCACTGTATCAAATCCCGTTCCCTGCAGTTACTATCTGTCCAGAAGGAAAATATAGTAAACAGGCGTTCAACTATAGCGATCTCTATTATCGGATAGACGATGGCAAAGAAGTGGACAAAACAAAGTGAGTAGTTTACAAAGTTTAAGTTAATTTTTTTTTCAATTTAGTTTTATTTATGCTTATATTAATAATTTTTTGCTTATTGCGCTACTTATTACTAAATTATGCCAATATTGTTTATAGTTTAACGATGTTTCACCATCTAAGTCTTGTGTGTGAAGATCATTTTAACATATTTGAAAATGAAACCCTGGACAACCAATTCTTTAAAACCATAAGTGAAGTAAGTTACAATTAAGTAGGAGTACCTAATTATATTTAACTATTTAACACCCCAATCAAACAAACTGAACAAAGAGGGAAACTACGAGTATTTGTGCACCTAAAATATTTTGTGCTTCAGTAGATATTATTACACCAAACACCAATGATGCACAATTTCATTGCCTACCCATTTATTTATAACTGTTTGTTTTAAAAATGTACAATATATAAAATTTTCATTTAAAATAAGTATTATCAATACAGAAGTGCTTAAAAAAGCGTGTTCTGTATAACAAGAGCTAGTCTAAATTTACTTTCTCTAAACAGTTCCGCATGATTTATAAAGACAATTTTTAATAATTTAGAATTTTTAGTAAAAATCTGCCTCTCCGCTTTATACCGCTCCTGATCCAGCTTTGAAATTTAAAGCATGTTGATGAGCAATCGAATGTGTGTCAATGTCCAAACATTGACATTATAATAAATCATAAATGGTATTTAAATTCATGCAACCCCTTCTTTGAAAGCTTATTTCATTCTACATATGATACCAAATAATTATAAAAAAGTTATAGATACAATAAAAAGAAACAAACATATTTATTGCATACTTAAAAAATATTTTGGCTCAATAAATGCTTAATATATACCTCTTGGAACTCGTGATAGAAGTAATTGTTTTATTTCTACTAAACGTGTTTCAAAACACACCACTTTGAACCATGATAAGGTTGTCTAATTCTAAAAAAGATGTTTCATTTTTTTAAATTTAAACTCGTAAGAGAGGGGTCACCCCATGCCTTTTAAAATTGTTTACCTATGTCCTATAGTTTTGACATTTCAAAGCTGTACCTGTAGCGTTTCCAAAGTTGTAAGACAGGGCTCGACTTTAAAGTGCCAAGAAGTATTTACCATCAGTATGTTATGTTATAAGTTATAACAACCAGTAAAAATGTCCATATACTTTTTATTGAAGCACAGACACAGAGGATTGTGTTATGAAGTTATGACATAAATTTCAAATTTATCTTGCGATGACAGTAAATTCTGATCGTTCTTTATTACTCATCTTACATTAGTTTGTAGTAGTAAGTTTAAACGTGTGTCAAATGTTAACGATCGATTTTTTGATTTCAAAAATAAATTCTAAAATTGTTTTGTACGACTTTTTTTTACAAACACATACATACTAAATGGGAATTCACTTGAGGCGGGAAGAAATTATGTTACTTTACGGTGAACAAAGAGTTGCATTTTCCTTTAATACTGAAAAATAATAATTGATTGTGCCATTTTAATAAGATGTTTTTTTTTTTTGCTTTTCTAGGAGTCCTCACATTATTGACGATAACAAGGTTTTATACTCCTGTTTAAAAATGCTTAGATAATTCAGTGCAAATATATAATAAATCTATAATATATACGTAAAAATCAGACGTTGTTTGCTGTTCTAAAATAAAGAGAACATAACGAGTTGTATACAGTAATCTTAAAGATCAAAAGAAAAATGATAATTATTGTAAGATTTAAATTTCATTGGGAATCACTCATACTTATTGACACCCGATTTACAAACACGTGGACAGCACATGATCAACAGATCTACCGAAATGGAAAACTCGTATTTCCATATTCTGTCAAAGTTGCGAAACAGGCAACAATCAGACATTCGCGGAAATAGCGCTGATAAGACAATATCCTTAAATATTGCTTGCCAATCCAGTGATATCTTAAAAAAAATACTTGCCGAAAATTAAAAATTATACAATAAACTTTTATTTTATTTAAAAAACGGTAAATTCGATTGATCTGAAATTTAGTACACATTTTAAGCCAGAATCTATCAGCCATCTACTCCACAAACTTGATGAAGTTATCGCAAAATTTTGCAAAGTAAATCTCATTTGAGATATAATGAAAATATATATAATGCTTCTGTAGCTCTAGGTAATGAATGTGTGAATTTATTTTATTGATTTAATCAGGAACTACAAAATCGAATGCTTTGAAATCTTGGAGATGTTTTAAAGTTATCATAAACATGCTAAATTTAAGCAGGGTACATTTTTGATTAAACTATGTTTACTCATCCCCCCCTAAAAAATTGATGACGTCACCTCAAAATTTTGCTGAACAAATCCTGTCTTAAACGTGCAAAGTATGATGGATCTTGTATGATGTCCTTGCAAAAATATTGATGACGTCTTCACAAAACTGTGTAAAGAAAAAACACATCTCTAAAATACTGGATATGTTTCGTTGTACTTTCGGTGCGAGTGAAGTTTTGTCGAAACAACTTTCAACATATTTTTTTAATTAGTGCAAAGTGGTGCTAGCCATAAAATTAATGGTGTTAACTGGTGCTGGGTTTAAACTATCTCGAATTAACTTTTCACGGGTATTAAGTAATGTCGTTGGACTACCGTTTCAATAATTATATAGTGCTAGTCTTTTGATAGATAGTGCTAGGCTAGAACAACGAGGTGCTAGCTTTTAACTAAAAATCATTAACTTGGTGTTACCAAGTTAAAGGACCCCAGACATTCCGACGAAAGCTAGAGAAAATAATTTAAATTAACCGGTCACCGGATAGTTTACGCTCAGGAAGTAAACATTCCAACCATCGTTATTTTCGTTAAAAATTTACTTAAATAATACAAAATGGACAAATTGATCCAATGCAAAATTCTGTCAAAATAGCTGTCTGGGTTTTTGTTAGATTATCATTAGGTAATAGTTAAAATTAATTAGTTTGATACGTAGGTAACTATTTTTACATTCTAGACTAAAATTGACCCAACGGATATGTTTGCGACATGTTTCTACAACGACGAATTTTACTGTGAGAAATTATTTACGCCTGTTATTATAGATGAGGGATTATGTTATTCGTTTAATATTTTTGGGCGAGAGGACATATTTAAGGACCACGTGTAAGTTGAATACTGTTTAAAAACTTATATAAATAATTATTTGCAGGTATAATTATGATCAATATTATCACGTTCCCCACAAAATTGCAGATTATTTTGATATGGAAACCGGATACAAAGAAAATGCCGGCGTCGTTGCGTATCCCAGAAGAGCGTTAATGTCTGGGGTTGATAATGGATTTACGGTATTTTTTAGTTTTGACGAAGGATTGGACGATCCTCTATGTACTGGTCCTCTTCATGGATTTCGGGTAAGACCTGTCGTATTGTATGCGGTTAAAGTTTACAGATTAGTTCAAGCAATTTTATTAATTTTTACTTTCCGAGCGTAAGAGAAGGAAGTATTGTAATCGAATCCGTCGACCGACGGATAATCTCCGAAAGTGCTGGATCGATTGTTGCCAAATTTTGTAATTATATTTGGAATATCATGTAGATGGTAAAACGCTAACCAAAATTTGTCTAATCATCCCCACCAATAATGTGACGTTTTAAAGCTATGATAAACATGATAAATTTTTAATCAAAATATATTTATGTACCCCTTCCAAAAAAATTGATGACGTCAGCTCAAAATTTTGCTGAATAAATCCTATCTAAATTGTAACATGAGTCTGTTCATGAACTCTTGTGATTTATCATTCCATTAATATTTCTTGGATGCTCTGAAACTGTTGGACCGATTGTTGCCAAATTTTGTATGCATATTAGAAATATCATGTAGATTGTAGAAGAATTTTTTGTTTATTTGAATTAACTGTTATGTGACAATATACTCCTACAGGTGTGGTGTACGAATCCGCTTTGATTGACTCAGTCATTAATTTTTTTCAGAAACCCCGTATCAGCAGATCTAAAAAATATTAATGCAGTGATAAATCACAAGTATAGACTTATGATAGTCATCATACTTTGCAGATTTAAGATTTTTTCAGCAAAATTTTGGGGTGGCGTCATCAATTTTTTAGGGGAGATGATCAAATACGTTTTGATCAAAAATTTACCATGGCTTTGATAATTTTAAAACATCCCCAAGATTTCAACTCAACACGGCATCATAAACTATATGTGTAAGACTATGTTATTTTATACAATTTAAAACCCATTTACTATGTACAATTTTGAAGTGACGTCATCACATTGTTGGTTGGGAGGATTAGATAAATTTTGGTTAGCCTTTTACCATCTACATGATATTCCTAATACAAATACAAAATTTAATAACAATCGGCCCTGTACTTTCTGAGATTATCTGCCTAATAAAAATCTGGGACGGCAGACAGACGGTCAGACGGACAGACTTACAATAGTCGGTTGACGAACTACTCTTACTTCTCATCATTTCAACAAGACGCCCATGTCTATTTGGATAGATGCAGTGTAATTCTAGCAATAATAGTTATTACTCTACGAGTATTCTCAAATTTTTGAGAAAAAGAGGTGAGCCGTTTTTGATGTGACCAGTAAAATAAATTTTTTTCATACATTAATTTGTTTAAGTAACCCGCTATACGTAAATTTAAAAAATATGAATGCACTGATAAACGAGAGGTATAGATTAATTCTTTTTTGCACATTTTAGATAGGATTTATTCGGCAAAAATTTTTAGATGACGCCTTGAATTTTTTGGGAAAGGATGTACTGATAAACTTTTATTAAAGGTTTACTATATTTACGAGAACCGTCAAACGTTTGCAAAATTCCAGAGCGTTTGGTTTTGCAATTTGAAAGTTGAATTGTAAAACATTGTTGTATAATTTTGATTTCTTTTCAGAAATTTTGATATCTAGTGACATCAACTGTAAGAGCAGGTTACGTAATAAAATTTAAGTGACATTAACTATCCTAAATTTTGGGTTGACGTCTTCACGTCACACCATTTACTATCTACACGATATTCCTAAAGTAAAATGTAACAACAATCGGTCCAGTAGTTTCGAAGATTATATATCTAATAAAATCGACACAAACAGATGACAGACAGATAGGCAACATAATTGGGGACCTATTTTGTATAGTCGGCCTCTAAAGTATGAAAAAATAACTAAACATCGAGAAAATATGAAAGTAACCATTTCTTAGCTTCCGCTCTGGAAGTAAAAAAATATGAAAGTCGCAATTCGGCCGATGGACTCGATTACTATACTTCCTTAGCTCGAGAAGTTAAAACACAAAAATATTTTAATAAAATTAGTAATTAGTATCAACTGGTTTTAACAATCGTATATGATTTATTTAAAGCATTTTATTTTTCATCATTTTTTTTCATTTTTTTTCATTATTTAATTAGCAAGTAAACAACTTGCTAATTAAAAAATAAAATAGTAACTTGTTGTTTTCTAAACAATATTACTTTTATTATCTAAATATTATTAGTATTTTCTATTTGTAGGTTTTAATTCATAGCCCTTGGGATGTACCTCTCCTTAGAAAACATTACTTTCGTATGCCTTCCAATAAAGTTGTTGCAGCTGCAATGGAAGCTGAAATTGTTCACACATCTAAAGATCTCAGAAAATTTGGGCCTAACAAAAGAAAGTGCTACATGCATGATGAACGCCCTCTGAAACATTTTAAAATGTACACACAATCTAACTGTTTACTTGAATGTCGAACTAATCATACCTTGAAAAAATGTGGCTGTGTTGAATATTTCATGCCGAGTAAGTATGCTATATATTTTAATATAAAATTTTATATTATTTTTAACAATAGGGGATAATGCAACTGCCATTTGTGGTTACCCTCTTCACAAGTGTGATATTGAAAGTAAGCATAATCTCAAGATGTATGTAAATTGATTTCTAATAATTTTATTGGTAATTAAACAGGTACCTTATTCAGTAGACATACGGAATATAACAAAGATGTATCGAACATTTGTGATTGTAAACCTGACTGTTCAAATTTGAAATTTACCATAGAAACTTCTCAAGATAATTATTATGAGAAAGAGTTTCTGAAATCATTGAAATACGCGGATACTGAAAGTAACAGGTACCTATGAAACCGGTTTGAAATAGTTATATGAATATACTCTCTAAAATTTAGTAGGGCCTGGAGTCTTCTGCATATTTATTTTAAAGAGGAGCAGGTTAAAACAATGGAAAGAAACGAGCTGTATGGCATATCTGATCTAATTTCCAGCTTCGGAGGCGTTTTAGGATTATTTACAGGATTTTCATTGCTTTCGAGTTGTGAAATCCTTTACTTTTGTTGTTTGCGCATTTTCTGCAATAAAAAAATACATGGAAGTTGGTCAGGACCTTAAACTGAAGGACGAAATAACACTCCAAGAAATCCCTGAAACAGTTTAGTAGGAAAACATCAATCTAATTTTCTTTTATTTTAGTGTATTCGTTTGATGCATTAGTTTTAAGATTTGTATGTTAATAAAAGAGTAATGTTCGAAATGTTCTTCTATTGTTGGGTGTTAGCCTAGAAAAAGCATTGCATTTTAGATGCGAGAATTTACCGTAGTCTTGTCAATTATCACTGTTATCAGTGTTATCACGTTATCAGTATCACTAATCACAAACCTGCGGATTTCATAAAAAGTTCATAGATGAATTTTTTACAGTTTATCATAAAAGTTTTGTCATTCTGCATCTATTCACGTTAAAATTAGATTTTTATATATCAAAATATCATACAGTTTTTACCAAAAGTAAAAAAACTACCACTTGTTGATTTCAGTTCCAAAAAGAAGTCCAGTGGTGACTTTCATATTATGCCACTGAAACGTCAACAAATGTCATAGCAGGAAAGCACAAACAAATTGAGTCAATTATACTAACGTTTGGAGAATTTGAGTTTAGTATCTCCCTTTAAAACGTCAAAACCCTTCCAAAATCTGCAGCTAAGTATAAATTAGTTAACATGGACCTCCATGTCATAACCTATAATATCTTTTTTTCTCCCCATTTCTAACTTAAAATTTAATACCAGTGTTGTCAGTTGTATTTTCAAGGTAAAATGCTTAGTGGTTTTTTAATTTCAGCAAATACTATAGTGTAAATCGGATTACGTATTACTTGAATTTTCATAATTTAAAAATTTTAAATAAAATAAAAACAGACTTCGAGACTCAGTTGTCTAATTTAAAGTCAACAAGCATTAAGCGACCAGATAATTCAAACCTAATCATGTTTGGGGTTTCTGAACAACAGAATAGCCTCAGTCAATCACAGGCACCTGATAAACGACCTTTCTGCTATTAAGGAAGTATTTCACCACATTGTACCAACGTATGTCAATGACAATGACAATTTAAACATTCAACGGTTAGGCCGACGCTCCGAAGACAAATATAGACCAATTAAGATTATTTTACGAGATAATTATGAGGTACTGAACTTCAGAGCCGTGCCTACATATTTTTTCACGTGAGACAGATGACCAAATTCGCGCCCCCATGTTTGCGAGATATTTACCTACTTACCTATACGTTACAGTTGATCTGTTCTCTAAATAACCCTTTATTACATGGCTTTATTGAATAAAAACACACTTTTTTTTAATGAACCCAGCGAGTTTTAGTTCCAGTTTTTACATTAAAGAAAAAAAGTGGGGCTACTTTTTTTTGGTTTTTTATTTTTTTTTATATTTGCAGAGTGGTGCTAGGTATGAGATTAATGGTGCTAGCTGGTGCTAGGTCTAAACTATCTCGGACTAACTTTTCACGAGAATTAACTAATGTCGGGGGCTAGCGTTAACTTGTCCCCCCAAAAGTAAAAGGCTCTTATTTTAATAATTAGATGATGCTAGCTTTTTGATTAATGGTGCTAGTTGGTGCTAGGTTAGTACAACGAGGTGATAGCTTTTGAGTAAAATTTATTAACTTGGTGGTGTCAAGTTAACGGATCCGGTGAGATGGTTAGACGATATAAGCACCCTTATCTAGACTAGTAGAAGCCCGGATCTAAATCCCATAGAAAACATGTGGGAACTTTAAGTGAGGAATATAGCACAAAGACGCTTGATATTTCGTGACAGAAGAGGTCTGTTGGCGGCAATTTCCGATACGTGGCATGACATGTTGTACAGTGAGTGATTGTTTTCTTTTTTGGCGATGTTGGTTTCCAAAAAGACTCCCAGAATCACGCATTGGTCTAGATCGGACCGAAGGTCGGCCTTTTCTAAATTTGTTTTATCTGCGATGCAATAAAGTCGCCATAATATAATTAGCAAAACGCACTTTATAGAGATTACCATATATTTACTTAAACAAGTCGACGCACAAAATGACATTAATGACGAACAATCAAAAATTGTTTCCACACTTCCCACGTCCCTGAAGTAAAACGAAATATACTTATCTGTCTTTAAGGTTTAATTTGCTTGATTATTATTATAGTCAGAATTATGCGTGGTTACTTTTTTTTTTTTTTTTTTGAAAGATAATAAAATTTGATTTTGCGAATTACAAGAACTTTAAAACGTAGGCATTCGGTTTTGCAGATTCAATATTAAATTGAAAAACGCTGTTATATACTTATACCTAATTTTGATTTGTTTCCAAAAATCTGGACATTTCGGGTAAAAATTCAGCACGGATCCATAAACTACACGTATAGGACTAGATATGTTTATACAATTTTAAACACATTTACTATGTATAATTTAGAAGTAACGTCATCACATTGCTTTCTCGTTCATTGGTGGGAATGATCAGACTAAGTTTAGTTAACGTTTTACAATCCACATGACATTCATAATACACATTATACAATTTTACAACCTTCAGTCCAGTAGTTTCGGAGATTCTGTCTAAAGGATGTTTTAGAGTTTATGACAGTTGATTGACAACCTTTCCCAAGATTCAGTTATTGCGACTGCACTTCATAAAATTTTATGTACATACTCGTATGTGTACTGCTTTTCTCACCGGGTATTCAATCATCGCACCCGCAACTGTTAATAATTCGTAAGAGTACAGAGTTGGACTGGTCTTATTACCCGAATTCAATACTCCACTACACCAATACACATAATGAATTGTGTGATGACTTTAGCGATAAAGGCATGTAATTTTATATTTTAATTTATGTTGTTGGTCCTTAGTTGTCTTTTAGTTTTTAAATGTTAAACTTATTCACTTCACTTTTTATGTGCAAAATATGTCTTATAACTTTGACATATGTATGCAATTAATTAATGAAAAAAATACAAAGAAATATTTCTCTTACACGATGTTATAACATATGCAAATAAAAATAATTAGAACTTTGTTTTCTTAATTTTATATTCCGTGTCTGTTGTCATTTTTACATCATTAATGTGGCACAAACGTAGTTAGATTTAATTTGTACGATCATTAACTTTCGACGCCTGAAACAGTGTTTTTGTGCATAAAATTAGAACACATCAAGTAAAATAATAATAGGAAGACCTTTGGTTTTGCGTTACAAGAACAGATCCCCTATGTTACATTTAAAGCAAGTTCGAAACTCTATAGTTACTTTGTATTTAATTTATTTGTTATCGCAGATAGAAAAAGAATTTCTATACCAATTCAAAATGCATTGTCCTAATTAACAGTATTCGCTTTGATGTTTATTTATGCTGCTTGTGAACTTTCGTGCTTAATTAACTTTAGAATCACACCTCATATATTCGCATGACACACATTTTAAACAAATAATTGCGCACGGTGACAAATTGCTAGAGGTGTTTACAACTTTAATTAATTCAACATAAAACAACTCATTATTGTTTTAACAGCGCTTTTATTAACAACTTGCAAAATTAAAAAAAGATGGAAACAAAATTTGGAAACGACGAATCTCCTCCAAGAAAGAATTCCTTTTTTAAGAATGTTCGCACATATTTTAGAGAATACTGTAATTGTACCAGTATTCACGGTTTTCGATATTTTGGAGAAAAAAGAACAATTTTTGAAAGGTAATACTAAATTTATTGTTTGATGTTTTGTTATTGTAGGGTTTTATTGTTATCAGGATTTGGTGGATTATAATTTTTCTCATCTGTTTGATTGCTTGTATATCAGCAATTTATGGTGTGTACAGAAAATGGGAAGGAAGTCCTGTTATTGTCAATTTCGCTAATCAAGGAACTCCAATTTATCAAATTCCTTTTCCAGCGATCACAATTTGCCCTGAATCAAAATCTTTTCAACCTGTGTTCAGTTATACTCGTACAATGCAGAAAATGTTAAGTAATGCTTCTGTAACACCGGCAGAGTAAGTCTTACTTCTTATAGATCCACTTTATATTTAGAGATATTCATTTTTAGACATACCACGTTTGAATATATGTCACTTATTTGTAAATATCAGGATAAACTCAATTCTTCTTATTCAAAGCCTGACATATTTCCTGACGATTTCTTTGAAACAGTTCACAAAATAAAACCACAGTTGTTACTATATAACTGCATGTATTTAGGAAATACTGATACATGTAGCAGATTTTTTATACCAATAATGACAGATGAGGGAGTGTGCTACACTTTCAATATGTTGGATCGGGGTGAAATTTATAACGACAATGTGTAAATAGTTTTACAATTTTTAAATAAGTATGTATATAACATTGCACGTCTTCCAGAGTCCAATTTAGAAATTATCAACGTGCTCCCCGTAATATGAGCAATTGGTCCGTAGAACAGGGTTACGCGGCAGATGCAGGTCTTTTTCCATATCCTGCAAGAGCTTTATTTGCAGGAGCAGTAAATGGTTTAAGTTTCAATATTATAACTCCTAAAACTTACCTAGACTTCGCTTGTCGGAAAAGTTCTCTTCAAGGCTATAAAGTTATACTTCATTCTCCAATGAGAATTCCGCGACCTAGCCAGCAATACTTTAGAGTTCCCTTGGATCAAAGTGTTGTAGGAGCAGTACAACCTGTGATGATAAGTACTTCCGATAAAGTTCAAATGTATAATCCGAAAAGAAGGGGGTGTTATTTTCCATCAGAACGTCGTCTGAAATTGTTTAAAATCTATACTTCATTAAATTGCAAATTAGAATGTCTTACAAACTTTACATTGAGAACTTGCGGATGTGTTAATTTTTTCATGCCGAGTAAGAACAGTAAGTAATTGTAATATTTTTTTAATTTACTATATGTTGTAGGGGACAATGAGACCAGAATTTGTGGAACTGGTAAAATCACTTGTATGCGAAATGCAGAAAGTAAGTTTTTTTTCTCTCAAAATACATTAATCGGTAGCTTTCTCCATATTATTTTATTAAAATATGCCGTCTTGTTTGTAATATTTTCATTTCTTTTTTTTTTTTCTACTAGCAGTGACTACGTTATTAATTTTCTGAAATTAGCATCTTTAGAGTATTTTCGGTTTCGTTAATATTGAATTGTATTTACATCTATGGCGAATAATATCCACTTTCTAAATTTAAATTAATTTGTCCTTTGCTAATGACATGTAGGTTTTCTTATAATAAAAAGACAATATGTTTTATTTGAAAAAAAAAGGCAAGAAGGAACATACAACCTATAAATTTAGAATGATGTCCTCAAGTTCTGTAGTTTGCTAGTTTCGAAGTACAATTAATACATTTTGTTGTACAATTTTGTCCGAAAGCCTGCATGTATTAGTCTAAAAATAGGAGTACTATTCATATAATTTTTACACGTTTAAATTGGACTAATTTTAATATGGTAACGTACAGTTTTTGATGTGGAAGTTCAAATAAGTTCTTGTCAAAGTTTTATCACTACACGATATGCTTAAAATACATCCGAAATTTCACGACAATTAGACCAGTAGTTGGGGAGATTATCTGTTTTTAGAGATGACAATTCCATTTTAATGTCAGCTAATTTTTTTTAGATTTTATGCAAATAAAAGATTTGCATAGGAAGCTGTCAAAAAAGGATTTTAAAAGGGCAGATGACTGCGACTGTTTGCCAATCTGTACGGACGTTACTTATGACGTAGAAACATCACAAACTGATTGGGACTGGAAGAAGTCATATAGTGCCCATTTACTCAAACCGACTAACGAGTTGAGTAAAGAAATAAATATTTTAGTAAATAAAATATAACTCCTATCATTTTTGTAGTTCTCATCTATCGTCGTTAACGATTTTTTTCAAGTCCGATAATTTTGTCACTTCAGAGAGAAATGAACTGTATGGACCTATCGACTTTTTAGCAAATTTTGGTGGCCTTTTGGGTTTGTTTACTGGATTTTCTGTATTGTCTTTAATGGAAATATTATACTTTTTATCTATAAGAATGATTTGTAATAATCGCCTTTATGGGTATTGGGCAGGACCTGAAATGTAAATTATGCCCCAGATAGACTAATGGATCATGCTATAGCGCGTGCACTTATATTTTAATTCATATGTGTAGAGTTTATTACTTATGTAAATGGTCTTTTATGGTATAATAGGTAGATAACAAAATGCACTTCCATTTCGACTACAGATGTGAATAATAAAATACAGATACACCACTATCTTTAATTGCTATTAAATAGATATAAGAACAAAATTTGTTTTCAAACAAAAATCAGTTGAAGCTTATTTCGATAAATTTCTTCATAGTTAACTCGTGAATCAATCGAGATTCAACGTTTAAAAAATTGGTTGAAAGTTGTTTCGACAGAACTTCCCTCGCACCTAAAGCACAATGAAACATATCCAATTTTGGAATTGAGTTTTTTATTTACACAATTTTGTGATGAAAACATTTTTGCAAAGACACGTATATCAACTTGGATTGGTGCAGTCTAATACTAAAAATAACAGTATTGTTTTCCCAAAATTTTCTGGGAAAATGGAGTGAGCCGTTCCGGTTTAAGTAAATCTAAAAAATATAAATGCAGTGATAAATCACAAGTTAAAACTGATCATATTGTTACAAAATAAACCCATACGCCACCCCGGTACGACGCCTATGGACCGTCGAGAACTTTCTAGGCAGGACCGCAATGACGGGTGACGCATCGTTGGTGACGCGGCCCAACGAAGTTCGAAAAGCCTGGAAGCGGAAGTCGCGAATACCCAATTCGAGAAAGACCTGGATCGGCGAAGTAAGGGTTTAAATAGAGGCCGCCTTCGGGAACGAATTATTATTCACCTAGTTGAGTCAAGAGCGTCCAGTGAAATTCGCCGGAATAATTTCTGCACATAATCATCGCAATAATTAGTTGTGTAAATGCGAGTTATTAAGATATAAATTGTAGAGTTTTAACTTACGCAGAATTCAATGACCCGTTCAACGTAACAATATTTTGCACATTTTGGGTATAATTTCTTATTCAAAATTTTGAGATGACGTCATCAATTTTTTGGGGTTGACAAACGGATACATTTCCTATTCTATTGTCTAAAAGTAATAAAAAACGGAGATTTTTTGACGTTTGGACAAAAAGTGATTTCACTGAACTTAAATTTTAATGCATTAACAACTGACATATAGTTGCATAGATCCACATTCGAGTAAGGCAAGTTATTTATAATGTTTTCATGAGCATTAGTACCATAATCAATAAAATTATTGCATGTTAAGTTATAACTATATTGATTGAGGTTTAATGATATCCCAAGCTGCTTTATGCTTGTTATCAGTTTCTAAAAGAGATACTGGTTATGAGCAATTTTTTTGCGAAAGCAAATGCAGAAGGATATTTATTTCTGTATTTATTAGATTCTTGATTCACATTCCTGAGTGGTACCAATGTCTAGAAAAAATTATTTGAAATTAAATATAAATTGTTATACACACCACTGGTAGCAGTTCTTGATTTACCATAATTACTATTTATTGAATGGCACTGAAAGATTAGGATTAAGAACCAAAAAAGCGGCGCACAGATAAGCAACGTGTAAAAACACGATAAGGGCCAGTCATGTTTCAGTTGGTTGCCATCGTGTGTTTTTCCAATTCAGATCGTGTCTACATGGTAATGCTTTATGGTGTGGCTGATGGAAACGCCAGGTTGGCCCTCGAATTGTGGATCGAGAGCTTTCCAAATCGGGCCATTGCATGTGCGCCAACATTTACATTACCTAACTCACAATCGTAACCGAAAGAATACTCCAAGGTGAAGAACAAATTTTGGAACGCGCCGAAGAAGAGTCCGACTTCAGCACTCTTGGACTTGCAGATGAAATTGGAGTTTCACAGTTTGAGTGCATTGTACGTTAAAAAAACAAGGCCTCCAATCATACCACGTTCAAAAAGTGAAAGCTTTGGAGCCCTCTGAGTTTCCACGTCGTGTAATTTACTGCGAATGATTGTTACAGCAATGTCGTGAACGCCCTAAATTGCATTCTGTGTACGGATGAAGCAGGATTCACTCGCAATTCTGTTTTCAATAGCCACAACACTCGTATTATTTGGTCCAATGAAAATCCACAGATTCCTCAACAAGTACGATTTCAGTGGCGGTTTTCACCCGATCTCAATCCGTGTGGTTTTTGCCTGTGGAGTTGGAGGAAAGAGTTAGTTTATGGAAATCAACAGTGACCAGAAACTATCGAAAAGGTTCAACGAGTGGAACTGTCAGCCGCTACAGTTCGTGGAACTCCCAGAGTTTTTTTTGCATATCCGTGCAAACATGTTGTGACGTGCTGAAGCCTGTATTGCTAGTCAAGGACAACATTTTCAACAGGTATTGTAAAAAGCTAGTAGCATTCTAAGTTGCTCTTATTTTTGTTCTAATAAACGATGTGGAATCTTTGTTAAGGACCAAACATCCGTCAGAATAACACGTCGATCACCATGAAGCATTATCAAAAATCGGTGTTTCTCAGGACCACCATTTGTTTCTACAACTAATAATCTTTCGCCTTAACCTTTAACAATGAATGAATACATGAATGAACGAATGATAACCAGCAAAAAGCCGGTGTGATTTTTAATTGCATCTGAAAGTGTTTATCGTTTTTATTCGAACGTTTTCCACCTATTGTTTAAAAGGTGGACCAGTGGGTGGTTCATTGCCCCTTTCGACTTTTATTTTCTTTTTTCTATATTTCCACATTATTACGGCACGTGATACCGAGGTTACAATTATTGCATATTTTTCTAAATCATCCTGTATAAAAAAATGAATGTTTTTTTTGTCCCAAACGCATTCTTCTGAAACTTTGGTGAGTTGTTCACACGCTCGCCAAGGTTTGTGAATCATTTCGTTTGTGTGTTTTACGCACTTTAATTACCAGAATTAAAACACGAGTACCTTCTTTAAGTAGCATACCGGGTAATGGCTAGTAATTAATAAAATAACTTAATAGGAGAATAAGTTGGTTTCCGCCGCTATCGATCACGCTATCCAAGGGAGGTGAACGGGTGGGCCAGGTTTGCCTTCTCCGAGCATATTTTGGTCGATCTTTTGGTTCTGAGATGTTGTAGGTTCAGGGAAGAATTGTATTGGCAGAATTCTAAATCACAAACGTGAAAGTTATAATGACATACCTACATATTAAATAACAAAATCAATAATGATTAATGAACTTCGTATTAGATTTTCAACATTTTGACTTATGCAGTGTCAAGTCTAACAGTGACAGTGCCGAAACCAAAGAATATTTAGGTATAGGCGAACCTTGCGTTAGGCGCTCCTCCTCTACACATAAAAATGCAATTTTACAGAATAGTTTTATTTATATTTTTTAATAAGTATGCAAAACAGATACTCTGATAAAATATAAAAAAACATTAAAAAACCGGTCGCATTGGTTACATGTTTCTGAGTTTCCGTTCAAAATAAAAAAAGATTAATATGACATAATTCTTGGTATAGTTTTGGAATTTTCATTTTACCCTATAAAATTTTATTGACGATAACGAGACGGACAGTAGGACAATGGTAAGAAATATTTATGGCTCACACCAGTTCACTCGAATTTGTCTAGAACATTTGCCAGGTAGTTTTACTCATAAAATAATGGTCATTTCTGTTCATAAGTAACGAAGGCCCCTGCCCGGACCTGGATTATTCTGGTTTCTAACATCTGGGAATTATCGGCACGCGACAACTTAAGTTGTAAATATCTCTTGCTATTGTATTACTGTCCATTAGGGTACAATGAAATTTTTGGACGAATTTGGCGCCCCTTGTCGTTGGCGCCCCTAGGCAAGGGCCTACTCGGCCTATAGCTGGTTTCGGCACTGAACAGTGATTAAAAAAAGTAAGGTTGCGTTTAATCACTGCTTAAAGATAAGATTGTGTTTAATCAGTGTACACGTTAGCTATTGGTTAAAATTCAAATTTTCATACCTTGCAATTGGTTGTAACAATGTTATGGTTTTTAGTTAAGTTTTGTTTTCGGCTTTACTACGATGCATGTTCTGTTTTATTTAATATGTTAGTCTGAAAATGTTTTACGGTTATATTTGAGTTTTTTGTTGGAAACTACATATTATTCAGTACAATAGAATACATTTTAAAAACAACGCTATCCTCAAGTTCTCCAATCACGTCCTTGGCGGAAAATATTTTCTTTATATATATATATATATATGAAGGAAAAATTTTTCGAAATGAATGTTTAATTAATAATTACAACTGGCTGACCTTCCAACTTCATACTAGTTTTTACAAAGTAACGATAAAAAAATTTTGATCGCCTTAATTAACTCAACGTTACCTCAAAGTACGCATAAAAATTCGGAACGCGATAATTTTAAAGATTACATCCTTAATAATATAAATAACACGCACCGGTAGGCCTTCAGACAGACAAATAGCAGAAAAGTGGAAGCAGGAAACCCACAGACAAAAATTTATTTAGTGGAAAAAAAGGAAAACGGACAATTAGCAACGAATTATGCAACAGCAGGTTTAATTATAATATGTACTAAAATAATAATTAAAGTGTTTTGAAAATATTTGCAACATTCGTTTACACTGATTTCATATCATTAATAAATTACCTATTGTTTAATTATTAAAACCCGTATTTACTTAAATTTTTACGTTTAGATACCTTTAGTTTTGGTGGTCTGTTTTGTGTAGCACAAATACAAAAACAAATTAAATAAATAATCTTAACCAAAAGCTTAGGTAATTTAGTGAATAATAATAATAATTGGAAAACTTAAAAACAATTTAGAGTATAATAAAAAAAAACAGCTGAAATCACAACAAAGTAATAAATAACTAAATGGATGTCGTAAAAATGGATGATTCCTTTAGGGTTATTAATTAAAATTCAAAAGAGAAAATTACTAAAGATGTAATTGCGAAAAAATTTCAAGATAATTGAAATAACATGGGAACATCGCATCCAAATGTCAAAACCTATATGGGTGTTGCAAAATTAGGGTATTGCGAAGACAACAATGCAGCAGTTAATAAGACAAAACCCACCGTTGTAAATTGTGTTTGTGTAGGTTTAATGTATCAAAAATGTTTAA